AAGTTAAGTGAAATTGTGAATGTGCTAACCATGCAATAGCAAGTTAAGTGAAACTGTGAATGTGCTAACCATGCAATAGCAAGTTAAGTGAAACTGTGAATGTGCTAACCATGCAATAGCAAGTTAAGTGAAACTGTGAATGTGCTAACCATGCAATAGCAAGTTAAGTGAAATTGTGAATGTGCTAACCATGCAATAGCAAGTTAAGTGAAACTGTGAATGTGCTAACCATGCAATAGCAAGTTAAGTGAAACTGTGAAGTAATAAGTATTTAAACAAGCTATCTGTTTATAAACATTCTTTATTTATCCCTATGAGCATAGGTGAGGTTCAAAGTGTGTGTGTGCCATGATTTATTTTACAGAGTACCATTCAACATGGTGTTATGTACTTGCATCACAGTTAACAACTATTCATTTACCCTACAATATCGATATAACAACAGTTCATGATAGAGGAGAGTAAATACCAGATACAAAATAAAGGGATACCACAAAAAATGTAGATATGCATTTTGGAGGTTCTGTAAATGAAATACACAAAGTATTTTTATTATTCACATGAACATCACCTTATATCACAACTTGTCAGAGTCTGAACACAGTGAAATTGTCATTTCTCAGACATATCTTGAGTAAATACTTTTGTAATAATATAATATTTTTTTATGTATAAGAGACTTGTGCTATGTACTCGGATTTTTCCATATTCCACGTGGATGCCCTTAGTAAATTCAGAATTATAGTTCAAATTCCTTTTCCTATAGGGGGTTGATACAATGGACCAACCTCATGCAAATTTAGCTGTAAAGATAGCTAGTTCATAGTTTCTGAGTGGACTAGCTCAATGGATATGTTCAGTACATAGCTCAAAATTAATGGATGTATTCAATACATTGCTCAAAGAGATGATCAGAATTTTCTATATTCTAGCTATGGTAAGACATAGACCTACTCTTATTGCATAATATCAATGGCAGCCCTGAATTAATTTTTATACAAAACAAGTGTCAGGTGGCCAATCTTTGATCTTGTATGCACATGTTGGTGATGTGTGAAACTGTGTCCTCATTTAGCAGTATGTTTGTACAACAGCAGTGTGTGAAACATGCCAGGACCCCAACAGGCATTTGGGCATTTCCAAGACATTGAGGGCAACAGATTGCTAGGAGTTGGTAAAACAAGTTGTTATAGAAAGACTAAAAGCATCATGAAGTGTGGTTAGTAGAATGTGAATTTTTTTTCAGACCATTAATACACTAGGCCAGGGGTTCCCAAATTTTTTAGAATCGTGACCCACTATTCATGACCACCGCTTATGGCGACCCACTCAAATTTACTGGGCAAAAACATATGAAAGATTATAAAAAATATTATTTATTCATATTCACATATTTCAATTACATTTAAAAATACTCGCGTATTTTCAATAACATTTCCAGAACTTATAAATGCTATCTAATTGATTAATAATGAGGCGTGTGAGAAGGATGTGCTTGTTTCTTGTTACTGTCAAGAATGGCATTGAAACCAACATCAATGTGGGTTAGTTTCAGGCGTAAGGAATTTGACAATTGAAGTTTATTTTGGAATTTGTTTTTGATTCCTACCATTGCTGAAAATCCAACTTCACAATGAAGATGAGAAAGGGAGAAGTACCTTCAAAGCTTCAGTGGATAGGATTGGGTACAGTTTTTGAACAGACACCCAGAACTGTATCAGTTTTCTGCTGTTAAAGTTCATTTCTAACGAAGCGTCCTCAGATAAATCAAAAAGTTCTTCCTCAGCTTTTGTTGATATCCCACTCATTATGTTAGGCTGAAAGGGGTTCATAATCCATTTTTTCTCTTGGATATTTTTCATTTCTTCAAGGAAATAAAACTCAAAACTCTCTTTCAGCTTATTCAAGTGTTCAGATATCTCAATGATTATATCGTCATCAACTTTGGCTTCATTCTCCATTACAAAGGTTTGAAATGTTTCAAAACAGTCATAATTTCGGTTGTCAATACCGAGGTTTCATGAAAAAACTTGTTCTATGGAAAAACTAATTTTCTCATGAACTGCGAATATACTGATATCTTCTCCTCCTTGCAAGTACAAATTCAGTTCGTTTAGTTTTGAAAAAATATCTGCCAAATACGTGAGCCTCAGAACAAATTCCTCGTTGCGCAAATATCTCACAAAATTGCTTTTACCTTCCAAAAGTTAAAATTCTGCAATCAACTGATAAAACCAGCCTATAGCTAAAGTACTGTATGAATAGGTGAAAATTGATTTCCTTTTTACGAGGACGAATGATTAAATTGAGAGCATGATCAACCCTGATTCATTAAGCTTGTCAAAACAACTTACTGCTTGATACAACAACAGCCTGGCAATGAAAGCCCGAGTCTTGAACTATCTCGACAGACAGCGTTTAATCGAAGCTAATGCGTAATTCAAGTATAACTTTTTACAACCCACTAACATTCCGCTTGCGACCCATAGTTTGGGAAATGCTGCACTAGGCTAAAGACCTGGAGAGGTTAGACAAGTGATTCCTAAATGGTAGTCTATTGACCAGTGTCAGTCCATTGAAATATCCAGTAAAAAGAAAAAGAGGAAAATGAAAGAAGGAAAATAAAACTTGTTGTAAAAGATTAGATTGTATGAAATATATAATTTGTGTATGTTTTAAGAATATATGAAGTGTTGCTTCCTTCATAGTTCGTTGTAAAATAAGCGATCATCGTAACTATCACTTCAAAGATTTTTTGAAGAATCTAAACTATGAAACAACAGGCATACATACTCCTAATGCTCTGTAAACATTTTACAAAGATTTTCCTGCTAGGTGGAGTTAAAAAGGTTGGGAATGATTGGAGTAGACCATTATCAGAAACTGCAAGATGACAGCTATTTAACAACTTAGACTTGACACAGCTGATGGACTTTGGCTCCTCCAACTGAATTAATAGTACAGAGCATCATATCGGCATACAGATGGTCAGAAACAAGTTTTATAAGGGTTATGCCAGGTTACCAATGACATGTTTTGTCTAACTCATTGCTACGTAGCTTTTTTAGTGATGTCGGAAATATGCGAGTTGGTCAAGCAACATGTGAACAATGTCTTTTTCACAGACAAATTATGCTTCACGCTGCAGCAACATATGAGATGTCTACAAATTTGGAGAATGTATTGGGCTAGATCCACCCCTAGTTTTGGGGAGAAATTAGTAGGGATTGGACAGAAATCTGTATTTGTAGCTACACTAATCTTTATATGCTATAACATGGCACTATGTATGACGTATGATATAGGAATGCAGTCTTACAAAGATTAGTGTTGCCATATGCAGGTGCAGTTCATTGGAAGTTTCTTCAGATAAATGATAACATCCACCTACCCACCCATGTTGTTCAATCATCTAGTAACATCCTAGAAGAATGTACTGAGTGAAGGGACTGGCCAGCATCCTCACCAAACTTGAATCTGAACATGTATATTTTAGGAAGATACTTGACAGTACATGATTTATCTCCATGCATTGTTCACGAATTGGCAGCATCTATAGTAGAAGAATACGCCAATTACCCCAGCATCTTCTTGATTCACTTATATGAGTCGCCACATTGATGTACATCTTGCTTTAGTGTCCGAAATAGTCATAAACCTTATTATCAAATGTTTGTTAATTTATTGAGCTACTAAGTCTGTGCTACCAGTGAACATTTGTAGGCATAGATATTTATATATGAAATTATATGACTGGTTACATAACATTTATATTGCATAAAAAATAAACTTGGTTATGCCATTGGCATTATTTGGTAACAGTAATTGCACCTTATCATAGTAATCCCTAATAAAAAAATAGCATATCAACCAATACTATATCTTTCATATCCAATCTAACCTGAAAATCTCAGATTTGGGGTGAAAGGACTCACTGCCACTGGATATAGCAGATATAATGCAGTTGACATATTATATACACTTTCTTTAATTTCAGTCAGAAGATCTTATTAATAATAGGTAGAATATAGGAAACAGTACATATAAGCTATAAATTGACATTATACTACATTTGTACAGAAATTAGAAACTTGTTACTTTGCTATTTCCATTGATAGTTAAAAATATCTTTTAAAATTAGACTGATGATTATCCTACTGCAGATATGGCAACGACGATGGATTGTGTTACGCCGAACTTCCAGTAAAGGTACATGTCGCCTAGAAAAATATTTGGATGAAAAAACAGCATCTCATGGGGGTGTATTTAAAATGACAGTATTAAACGCTGTCACTAATGTCTGTCGGGTTACTACAAGTATCAGAAAGCATGCATTTTCTATCTGTTTTCAAGACTCTGCAACAAAATGTTTGTCTTGTGATTCTGGTGAGTGAAATGCTAAGGACTTTTTTGTCATTGCATTGTTCATATTTATAAGAATATACAAGTTAAATAAAGATTACTTGAAAAATGACTTTGAGAGTACATATAATTAACTTAAATTGTTTCATGTGTTATTGCTAACATTTATAGTTACTTTGTCAGAAATGATAAATGAGGTACAGCTAGTGAAGGTTAAAAGAAACCATTAAACCATATTTTTAAATATATATCTTAACAGACTGCATTATTATGTCTGTGACTTTGGAATATTTCCACATGAATGAAATATGTAACATTGCACATTCAAGAAAGTTTTTACTGTTTATCATGAATCAAAGTAATCATCAATTATGGATTTTGTTTAACATTTTAGTTGTTTTCTGTGCATACATCAGAGATAGGTTTTAATGAAAGTTCATTAGTAATTATTTGAATATCAAAACTAATTTGGGAATTTAACTAATTATAAGGCATTTTGAGGTGGGTTAACTGAACTTTTTTTAACTAGCTCTGAAATTTAATATGTATAAACGTTGGTCATAAGCTTGACATAATAAATCTGATGAAACTAATAACGTATTTTTTTATAGTCATTTGTACTTGCATGTTCATATAAACAATAGTTCTATATCAACAAGACATTTTTTAGCTGTGATGATACAAGGTACAGAATAATATTTAATACAGTATAAGATCCAGTACCTCTTGACAACAAGATGCTAATGTTAGATTTTATCTTGAGCAGGTAATGAAGGGGGAATTTTCAGTATTCCCAACTGCTCGGTGATCACTTTGTTTTTAGTCAGCTCGTAGTATGTTAGGTAGTGGGTTATTTTGAAGTAGTATTTAGTATATTGTTAATTCAATCTGTGATTAGACTAGCTTTCTGGTCAAATTAGTCAGTGTATCTAAAATTGTTTTCAGTGATAGAAGTGAAAAATGTGTCCATTGATATTTTGTACTAATACCTAGCAGACCTGGAAGCAGACACCTGGGTGAAACTGCTAGATCAAGAATGTATCTTATCCCAGACAGGCCTTGTCACTGGTGAACCTGATATTCTTAGCCCAGGAATCCAGAAGGAACTTCAAGGTAAATTAAACAGACGTTACACAACTAATAATTATATAATTTGCAAAAACATTAGTGTATTTTCATGTATCTTATTATACTAAAGCTTTACTAAAGAGAGAAACACACATCACATATTTGTTAAACCCATGCTAGTTAAAACCTCAAACTGTATTGACCTTATTCTTATTGTTTTAATACTTTATTAATAAAGTGAGCACCCTTTTTTAATTATATTAGTATATCACATGGATGAGAATTAGATTTTTGCCATTTTTGTTCAAACTGGGTGGAAAAAGGGTGTTAGGAGACAAAATATTAGTATTAGTTAGGCTTGATTCCAACCAAAATTGATATAGGATGCTCCTTTTAATTGGCTAATTTGATAGGCAACTGACCAATCACAAAACGTCTTTTGAAGCAGAAGGTATCTGAACACCTTGGAAATGAACAAACTCCTTACAGTGCATCAGGTAGACAATCGAAAAAGAATAAGCATAGAGGTGATAGGCTTTAAATATTTTGCTACTTGCCTTAGTGGTTTGCACTTTTTGCTCCTTTGCTTGGAATTACAGTACACATGCTAGAAATGTGTTGTCTTCATCGATGCAATCAAGGAAGTTCACTGCAAATGTCTTGTGCTTTGGTTTGTTATCTGGTTGCAGTGTCTGTACCAACTGAAGTTTGTAGGCATGCAGATGAAGTCATTTACGAATGACATGGAGCAAGGATGTGTTTGGCATGTTAAGTTCTCATGAAGCATGACAAAGCACTTTTCATGGGTTACACTGAAACAATTCATGTACTTATTCAATATGTTCATCACTGACAGAGGGCCTTCCAGCTTCCAACCACTGTAACACACTTGCCTGTCTCCAAGAGCTTCTCTCTCCACTCCCAGATAGTTTCAATGGTGTCTGTAATTATGCTGCACCACAGTCATTAATTTGGTCTGTGCAAGCTAAATGATGCGTTGAGCCTTTTCTTGCATGGTTGACATTTTACAGGGTAACACTACTTACTGGAGTGAAAAAACATGACAATAAAAACTGTTTGACTTGGCCTACAAAATGTTGAAAACTGCATGGTTGTATTTCCTAAGTTATTTAATTTTAAAATTTGTACCACCATGTATTGTTCTCAGTGCTTTGTATTTGAAAAAGGCATTAGGGTGAAAATTTTGTTCTCGGTGATACTCCTCCAGGAAAGTGATTAAGTCCCTTAAAATCCAAGTCTCCTCATGAAATGTTATATACTTGCTAAATCTTAGTTTGCACTATCAAAAAGAAAAGGTGCATATGTATTTTTTATTATTATTCTTGTGAGTAACAGATTTGTGATGAAACTAGTTATCTAATTTTTACTTTTTAATTATATTCAGTATCATGCATCAGATGTCTTGTGTTGAAATATTATTTCTGAATACTGTTATGCGGTGTTACTTTATCTTTTTAAGTTCCAGCTCTTTAGTCTCTTGAGAAAAATGCAATTTAAAATAACATCATAAACTTTCTTTAGGCATATAGTGTAGTTTGTGTATAATGTTACACCATAAATGTACTCATTTATCATTCTGTTCCTATGATAGCCATTCTATCTCGAGCTCCACTTTAGTGGCATAATTACATATTACCATCATAAGAATGAATCATACAAATTCAGAAAATAAAAATATATTCAATGATTAGCCCGCATTCTTTTTGACATAATGAATAACTTATTTTGTATAGTATCCTACAAGTGTTGAATTAGATAAAAAGATAAATAAATAATAATAATAGATGCATGGTAAACTAAAGAAAATTAGAAAAAAACCAAAAACTCTCCTTAATTTAAAATTAGGTATGTCAGAGTGTGTTAGCACAGGCGCATACTTAAAGAACAAAGCACTGTATTATACTTCTATAAAAAGTCTGGCTTTGTATCATTGTTAATCCTCCTCAACTCATTGCTGTTGAATCATTTAGGTATTTTGAATCATCCAGATACTTGGATACATATTATAATTAAAAAAAATTGTTTTTCTGATCTTTAATTATTCTGATTATAACTTGATTTAGTTTTATATGTGTGTGGAATCTGTATGTATGTTAAAAGTGTAACAAATCTCTGTCTGATACAGAACAGTTCCATGTATACCTTATGCCTACCCCTAAGCTTGATGTGTTTGGAGAGTGTTTGCTTCAAGTAACTCATGAGAATATCTACCTATGGGATGCAACAAATCCTCGTATTAAACTTGTTACGTGGCCTCTAACTGCCCTCAGGCGATATGGAAGTGACCCTACAAAATTTACTTTTGAAGCTGGAAGGTAGGTGGTTGTATAAAACCAAAAACTTATTAATCTTTAAACACACCTTTCTCATTTCAAAATACATGGTTAGATTTCTTCTGGTCACTCTCATTGTTACAGCCTATCATGGCCAGGGTGCTCGACTCGCAATCTGTGTGTCATGTGTTCGAATCCCCATCCCACCAAACATGTTAGTCCTTTCAGCCGTGAGGACGTTATAATATGTGACGGTCAATCCCACTATTTGTTGTTAAAATAGTAGCCCAAGAGTTGGTGGTGAGTGGTGATGACTAGCTGCCTTCCCTCTAGTCTTTCACTGCTAAATTAGGGACAGCTAGCCCTAATGTAGCTTTGTGCGAAATGCATAACAAACTCATTGTTAAAAAAATTATTGAATCTTAATGTAATTAAGACTTACTATGAAATTGTAGCACTACTTCAACATTTCCTGATTTAACTGGTGCACATCTAATTGTAGTGGCTTGAGATAAGTCAAATTCCAACAATGTTGAAGGCAAACTTGTAGAATTACTGGTATCCTTAGTGTATCTTTTTTCTTAATTTTGATGGATTGTAACTTCGAACAAGCAATGTAACAAAAAAATATAAACACACTTACTAGAAAATAAAACTATTTTTGACAATTACTATTTATGAACTGATCTTAATGCATTAGTAATGTGGCTTTAAAAACTACAGAAAATAGCAGAAGCTTTAATTAAATGAACTTTAAAGCTGTACAAGAAATACCAAATTTAGCATCAGAAAAGAAACTCAATATCTGCTACTTACTCCGTTTTATTGGATTTCATTTTTGATGCTAACTTTTTGAAATGTCATGAATTAATTTCTTAAACAGATACATTATGATGAAAGTTAACATTTTCTTAAATAGAAAATGTACTTCCAAAAATACTTTCCTCCTTTCACACTACATCTATTACTTGACTCCTAGGGTTTCCTTCCTTTGCCCATCTAAGCATTGGTCTGATTTTATTTTTCTCGCTTGCTCCAGTCTTTTATTCCCCACTTAATTGCCCTTGGCGATATCTGTCTTGTGACACTCTCCACCTATGTCAATGTGCCCTCTATCCTTGTACTGTTTATAAGCATCTGTCTTTCAGATAATATTGTCACTTCTTTAAGACTGATCCAATCTGCAGTCTCTATCACCAGTTCTTAGTGTGAGAAGTGGTAAGTATTATTGGAAATACATTCTTGATTTAAGAAAATTTTAACTTCCAAAACGTACTTTCCTTCTCTAACACTACAGCTAGAATCCCACAGTGATTAGGTGGAGGGGCTGGTGTGGGCATTATCAACACAGAATGCATCTGCATAGATCATGGGTGTGCCAGTAGAAGATTAGCACCCTAGTGGGGGAAACCTCACTACACCCAGAACAGGTATGCTCTTCATTGGAACCTAATTCATGTACTGCAGTTGGAATTTTATATGATCTGTCATCACTATTGGTCAGGCCCCAACCAGGTAGCTGAGGTTCCACTACTTGGGGTTGGAATTGTAGGGCCGTGGTCCCTGGATCCCATGTTTGTGGCTAGGGCATTTGGGCTGCAATATATATATATATATATACACACACACGCGCGCGCGCACACACACACACACACACACACACACACACACACACACACACGAATGGATCTGAACCTGTAGCTATAGAATGATTGTGTTCCGAGCCATGGGAATCGCAACAAGGTAAGCAACACCAAAGTGGATAAACCCTCTCCTCAACCTGAAGAAGTCCAAAAGGCAACACCCCAGACTTGGAATGACGGGATCCTGTATGCCATACACAACCTGAGGAAGCGGAACTCATCCATTCTGGAATTATGAACATTCATCCTCACTCCCCAACTGTGTGGGCAAGGTAAATTCTACTTGTCCCTGGAATTATTGGGAAGAATTAGAATAAACTGTTCTCAACCAAGGACCCAAGAAGGGACCACTCTGCATTCGGAATAACAAGGAGACAATGGACCCTCTTCCATGAACAAGGTACTGAACCAATATTGATAAAGTCAAACTCACTCCAACTGGATAGCCGAGCGTCAAATCTGAACCAGTTTTATAAGTAGGCACCTCCATAGGCTAGTGACTCTCCTACCAACATCTGGAAAAAAAACATCCAGGGTCCCGGGTAGGAGGGCTCCCGACTTTGCCCTCTTCTCCAAGAGTGGAGGAAGTTCATTCGAACACTCTGGAGGAATAACCTTTGTCCACCATCCCAGTGACTGGAAACTGATAGACCTGATTTGCTTCTGTGCCAGAAACAGTAATCTGGGAATTTATGCTGACTATCAGTTTGCCAAATGAAAATAAAATTATTTTATTTTTTTGTTTACAAAAATTAATTGGGTAACACTAAGAATGCTCAAAGTATCTTCAACAATCATAGTACAGAGAAACCTGTTAGTGAATACTTTGTCGAGAAAAAGTGATAATATAATCTAAATGAGGTACCAGGAAAGAGGGTGCAATGGGGTGGAGAGTGTTACAAGACAGATATTGTCAAGGGCAATTAAGTGGGGAATGTAAGACTGGAGCAAGAGAGAGAAAAAATCAGATCATTGCTTAGATGGGCAAAGGAAGAAAATCCTAGTAGTCGAGTAATAGCTGTAACATGAGAAGAGGTATGTTTTGGAATTTTGACTCTGCAGACTTTGAAGTTAAAATTATCAAGTTTCTAGAATATTTTATTTTGACTTACTGATGATGATGATATAAAGTTATGTGTAATATTAAGTTTTAAGAAAACTGTGTATACCTTATACTGCTTTACCCATTCCCAGGCACTGCTGTACAGGTGAGGGGCTGTTTGGTTTTTATACGTTGGAAGGAGAGAAAATTTACTGTAAAGTTCATCAGGCAACTTTAGCAATAGCTAGAGCTCATTACAAAGTGAAAAAACAAACAGATAAATCCACTTCTAACAAGGTATATATTCCTTTTGTTTAGAACATTTTTAACAGTATCCTTTACTGTTTTAAAAGAGTAGAATTTTTTGTTATATTAAAAAATTCTGTAACTGCTGTGGATTTCTGGTAAATTTTTCTCGCACTTGTTCTTTAAGTTTCAGATTCTTAAGACTAGGCATTTCATTGTCCTTTATAAGATTAACAGACTCAAAAACCTTTTAAATAGTATCCACTTTACTACTGACTCCAAATTTATCTAGTAGATAGAACTAATTATTGAAAAGAACATAAAAAAATAAATAAAAAAATAAGCTACGTATATTGATTAAACCGTAATACGCTACTCAAACTGAAAATAATTGTACTTACTTTTTAGTAGAAATGTTGAGTATGTTAATGTTTTACTTACTAAGTCAGTAGAGGGAGTTTACATCTTGAATTATTTTAACAATAATTAACCTGACCTTGAAGACTAGTGGCTTATGAAATATTTGATGTTTCATAATATTTTCATATAATTAAAAAGATGTCTATAAATATATGTTTACCTGTATTTTTAAGAATTTTTAGGTTAAAAAAAAAAAAAATAACTGATCCCACAGAGTTACAGTGAAAATGATTCAAGCCATGATTTATATAGTGACGTTCAATGATAAACTCTTTTGAATAACAAATTTGTTTTTCATGATTGTAATTCACAGGAACCACCACCTATAAAAAATGCAGCAGTATCTCATACTACACTCGCCATGGTTAATTCTTGTGAAGGTTTATCCTCACTTCCTATAAATAATCAAACAGAATCCTCAGTGGATAAGAATGTTGCAGCAGCACGTGTACCTTTGGCTGAAGCAGAAGAAACTAGAAATGGTCGTAAAAGTCTCTGGAGGAGAATCTAGTTTCAAGTTCTTCCTTTGCTACTACCTCCTAGTGTCATCTTCACTGACATTTGTTACATTACTATATGGACAGGCAAGAGTAATAAGACTGAACAGTTAGTGTAAACAAATGATTAACTATAGACCAGCATTCTTTGATGCACTCGCGGGGTTCCAAAGCTGATTTTTATATTTGAGATATTTTTGTAGCTACCTGGATTTAAATCTGAAGTTAGAAATGTTTAATTTCTATAGATCCAATTTTACATTTGTTTATAATTTTCAAACTTACTCGTAAGTGTAATGGAATATGTGAACATGTTTTCAATATAGATACCAATGTGATAAAAGTTTTTAATTTAAGAGAGAAAAATCCGTGTAAAAAAAAAAAATTGTATAATTTCTCTCATTAAAATGACCCACCTTTTATTATATGTGGTGTTAGGAATTTTATCTGAATATAGAATTTGTCATACTTAAGAAGAAAAAAAAATTTTCATGACCAGGCTTTGAATTTGATATTTACTTTAACAGCAAGTTGTCATTTGATATAGTAAACACAGAAGGATAAGAATATTTTGTTTGAGGCAGGTGAATAGTCATGTTTTATTTTTTCTATATGCAAATAACGTTTTTGGAAAATTAATTAGCCTGTCTTTGTTATGCAAAAGTCAACTAGATTCCAAAATTAAATGCATGTTTTGATGTACGTTACCTTGAAAAGAAAATGTGTGTATATACTTGTTATTCAAACCACAAAGTTCAGATGTGGTGATTGTATAAACATTAATATAGACCATGTAATGCAGATCTTTCTGAAATAAAAATGTCGCGAGCATTTTATATTTATGGCAAAGTTACTAAGGCTATCCACAGCTATCCCTAATTATGAATTACTGACAGAGGAAAAACAGCTAGTTGGCAGCACTCTACTATCCATTCTAAGGAATTAACTTGATACTTTTATAAAATACCCACATCTTAAAGTGGGGGGGACCATTTTTAGTATCTACCACAGGGTCAACTGGTGCCCCAAAGTCATAAGATTCCATGTTAACCCTAATATTACTAGCAGCTAACTCCATTTATTAGTGAGGTACAAACACTATTAATTTTATTTTAAATCAATATATATATATATATATATATTTTTTTTTACATGTAATTTGGCTTAGGCCATATGAATAGTCCTGTACATATAATTTGTGAAGAAACTGATCCACTACAATATACAAATGCTGAGAAATATAATATCAAATATGTTATACCATTATCCACTAAAGAGGTGTTAAATTTAATCATAGTTGGGTGAGTGTTCAGGTATAGGTTTTCACTAAGATCTCTGTAAAATAACACTATAACAGCAAGTAAAGGAAATGTTACACGGCTCTCGTATATGTTTGTCAGATCAATGACATAGTATGTGAACAATTTTATTTAATGTGCAAAAAAAACAAACATTAAACTATTTTAAACATGTTCAATCTATGTTTACATGTGGCTGAATGTTGTTCAGTTTCAGTCACTGCATGTATTATTTGGCAATGCTTTAATACTTTTTTCTTTACTAATACCCACCCTAAGTAATTTGAGATCACAGAATCTTTTTTAATGCTAGTTACATTAAAAGTTACGATACAAAATTTGTTTGTTCTTGATAACAATCTTAAAAGTTAATGAAATAGTGAAATTTACTTGATGTCAATGTTTATACAGTAGTGGGGCAAGGAATCATTTTTTCTTTCTTTGCTTTTAACTCTAACCATATTCTAAAATCATCACATTTACTTTTAAATTTGTTTCATTAGCTCTAAATTATATTACTTAAACTGAACATTTGTCTCTTAACAATACAATTTTTGAAAATAATAAACTTAATCAAGATTGTTCTCTTTCACACATTGTTCCATTCTTGGTTCATTTTCCAATATAACTTGTATAAAATGATAGTCTGTGACCTGACTTGTATATTTAATAATATATATATATATTTGTATAAAATATGTTACAGATGATACAAATTTAATATTGCTATATAATGAAAAGTTGTATGATAGCAGCGGTGGAGTTAATTATTTTCAGTTTTTTTCTACATGATTAATATTGCTTGGAAAAAGAAGTATATTAAATCTTATTATTGAAATATGTAAGGATCAAGGAAGTCTTTCCAGAAGAAGAAAATAAAATGCATTTAGAAAGAATCTTAAAATATGCCTATTACTTGAAACATATATTTAAACAGGCTATCTTTATTCCCGATTGTCTTGAAAAGAAGATCTTGCAAAATGTGTGTATATAGACTTCCAACCTCATGCTTATTCACACTTTTTGTTTGTACACATGAATGATCCCCAACAGATTCTTAATATAGATTTTCCATCATGGTATCATTGTAGTTAATATAAGCAGTAGGTTCATATTTATCATTTCAACAGCTAGGTTGAATTGGATAAAAACTAACTTTAGTTATGCATGTTTTACATGAGGCTTCAACATTAACTTTGCTGTACACATGGATGGAAATATCAAAATAAATGTGTATCTTTTGGTATGTGTGTGTGTGTTTGTATTTTTTTTATTTGTGTCATTTGCAGATTTTTTTTTAATCATACAAAATGTAGCCTTTTTTTTTTCTCAAGAAAATTTTGAATTCTAATAGGTTGTTTATTGGGGTTCAAATTACTGGAGTTAATAAATTGATTAAATTTATTACTGATTTATTTCACACTTCAACTAACAAGTAAGAAAATGTGGAAGGTAACATTTCTGTTAAAAATTCTCTCCCAAAATCAGACTGATATAAAAGTGAATAATAGAATATCTCAACATCAAAATGAATTTTTGTAATTTTTACACACACACACACACACACACACACACACTATATATATATATATTTCTTAGCTGGATCCTTCAGTGCTGTGCTAAAACTGCTTACATATGTTATGTTGGGGCATGTTCACTAATAACACTGAAATACTAATTTGAGCCAAGAATTTATGTATGACACAAATACACTTGCATGCTTAAACACAGGCTGATTCACTTATGTGATTAGTATCAAGGGTGATTTTTATACTATAACTTGTGGGTATGAATTGGCTGTTTTTGAATGTGTTGTCACACTCACCTGGATGATTAACAAACACCTTGTAAAGTTTGATTGATTGACGTCTTGAATTTCGCACAAAGCTACAAAAAAAAAACTACATAGTAGTCCATAATTTTGAATTTACGGACTAAAGGGAAAGAGCTAGTCAATAACAACCACTGCCAATTCTTGAGCCACTCTTGTCTAACTAAATAGTGGGATTTGACCATCACTTATAAAACACACATGGCTCCAAAGTATGCAGCATGTTTTTTAGTCAAGTGGATGCAAACCATGAATCTTCGGATTCACAGTACTACCATGTTAATCACTATACCATACCCAGACTCCTTCATAAAGCATTTAGTGATTCATTCTGAATTGCAGATATGTATTCATTCAGATGATAAATAATATTAAGTTTAAATGTTACTTTTAATTCAAAATTTGTTTAACACAGTATTGACAATTATAATTGTTCTAAACTCAACTAATAAAGCTATGAGCATGTGACCCAGTCTTTAATGTCACCATAGTTAAAAAGAAGCATAACTTTTTCATGTGTCTACATTAGATTAAAATAGCTTAGTCATCAAAAATGTTTACTGGTAAAATTGTATGGTTTTTTTTAGATCTATTTTCACAGTGTAAAAAGCGGCATTTACTCCTGACAGATCAAAATACTCGTGTTGTACAGGTATAAGCATTCAGGCAGCTGTATAAAACAACTAACATTTTTCTTTTTATTGAGTGATGATTTGACACTTTTATATCATATCTATTCATACAGTACTAAAAAATTTTGATCAAATGTCATTTGTCCACAATCAAATATACCATAACCCCAATTACCCAAGAATACGAGTAATAATCAAATTAAGAAAACAAGTGAAAACTAAAATCACACGTGACATTTTTTTTTTTACCTCATAATTAGGCCTTTATGAATTTTGAATAAGTAAGCATGATTTTAACCAATTTTATTAGACCTAAAAAACCTCACTGCTTGCCAGTTTAGGCATTTTAGACCACTACAACAAACTATACAATATCTTGTACACAGTTAATGTTAAAATGTGATATTAAAGACAGCCTAAAGTTACACTGGCTAAAACAACACAGTTGGCAACATCAACAATATAGTTTTGATACAGTCATACAACAATAAAGTATATCACAGAAAAAAAAATTATAATAAAATATGAACTGGAATTTTTTACATGAAAGTAAATTATATGCATTTTTTATAGTAACAATTTTCAGCATTCTGTTAAAAAAGTTTACATATGTATTGAATACAGCAGCAGGCATTTCGTAATTCCACTAAGTTTAATGGTGAAACACCAAAGCTATCCAATATTATAGTGTTTGAGTGTGCTTTTAACTGTTTTACAACAGCTTAATTCAATTTTACCACACAACCTGACCAGTTAAATGAACAACTAATGTTTGCTTTTGCTCTTCTCTATTTTACTATCATTTCCAAAGCTCTAACTAAATAAAAACATAAGGTCTATTCAGATTAATGTAAATCCTAAAACATCCAATATTTTTCTGCATGAAAAATAAAGTGATACAAAAAACTACTGGTGTTAGGAACCCAGCATGACCACTTATTCAACTTTCTAATTGAAAAATAGAATGCTTCCAAATGCCAGTAAAGGCATCACCTCAAACTGTACTTCAAAAACTTATTTTCCCCTATCTTTGTATTCATTTGTAAAACTTTAAACACCAACTCAGTCCATGAAATTCCACAAATTACTTACTCAACAAAATGACAACTATATGGATGAAAACTATTTTTATCACTCAAAAGGTCAATGGTAATTACAAAGGCCAATATTGAAAACTTACTATTTTTTACTTAGAGCTATGGTCTATGTTAATAGTATCAGCATTTACCTGATCAATGTACATAATTTCATGTTTTCATAAGTTTATTCATAGATTAGAATGAGCTTAAAAATCTATAAAAAACACAACTAATGAAATGGGTATAATACAATTGTTTCAAAACCAACAAGATCATTTTTAATCACTCACTATTTAGCACCTTACGCTAGGCAACATCCTGTTGTAAGATTATTATGCTTACCATCTTAAAATTATGTTCTGAGTATACTATATTTAACAAAACCTTTATATAACATGCATTAATAATTTCAGTATATTCCATTGTGTGTGTGTATTATTTATTGCCCCTTAAGCAAATTAGAACAATGGAATCAGGATAAAGATAGTCAAGATTTGTATGGTGTAAACCATTAATTGCAGCTTAATTGAAGTTCCCTTAGTTCCACAGTACTCACTCACTCCACAATTTACTCAAAATGGGACCTAATCGTTTCTGGAGTTTTTTCAGTTATTTTTCATCAACAAAGCAGTTTTTCAGAAATAAAGGCGCATTCATAAAACAAAGCTCACTACCCAAAATGCGACTTCAAATTTCAACATCCACTACTTAACCTTATCACAACTATGAACTTTCCACACTTTCCTCTTATTAAAGCAAGAACCATAAAACTACTGCTCAATTAATTCACTAAATATTTTCACAAAACAAAAGCAGCCTTGAAAACAGCAAAAAAAGAAAGAAAAGGGAATATAATACATCTCAAATTCCACTATAATAATATGAGTTTTTAAGCGAGCACATGATACAATGTACAAGTAGGGTTAAAATTTTATCCCAACACTAGAGCTGTAACAAAGTGTAGATTTTGACCTTCGAAAGTTTGGAACACATTATCGTATGAAAGTCTGAACCTTCAATAGTACTAATTTTCATAATATACTGATGATGGGACCACAACTACTAGTTGTGAAAACCTTTTATTTTACATGTAATTTATATAAATGAAATGAAATAAAATTGTCACAAGCAGTTTAAAAATACATTATATAGAACAGTAATCAAGTTTCTATATCTTACATAAAAAATGCACGTTGTCAATGTACACATATTTTACACTACGTGCAATAGTCATATAGCTACATCCAGTAATCTTGCATTGCTAAAATACTTCTTTGTGTCCAGTTATAAGAACTACAGATTTTCTAAGCAAACTTTATTTAACAGTAACCATTCCAAGGAGGTAAACAGTCATAGTCTTTTAAACACAAAAATATTCATTAATTAAACAGACCTAATAAACATAATAACAAATGAACAGCAAAACAGAACTGAGTAACACTAACAGTTAGATTAGAAAATAAATATGGAGCTTCAACTATAGCACAACATTACAAAAGAGAGTGTTACTATTATTATTCACATACTGTTTTAAATAACATTATTTATTGATTAAATATATGTCTTGGGAAGAGGGAAGTGTAGAGTTACACTAGTACTCCTTTTTTCAACATTAAAATTATGAGTATTAAAATATATTTTGTGTTTCATACTTTATTTTAACATTACACTTCCCTTATGTCTTGTACACTAGGTATTCAGTATATTTTACTGAAGCAATACAGCCACTAAACACAGACCCCCTGTACTTCAACAAAATAGTCTGCTCTAATGTATGGTACGAGCTGCTACTTTGGTAGTGTTTTTTTTTTATATAAAAAAAAATTATCAATATACAAATCAAAAGGATCAAATTTTCCCATGAGTGATCACTAATCACGCACTGTTAAACAGTTTTGTCAACAACAGAAAAAATAACTGACAATGCTTGCATGCCACCTGATTAAACTTAGAAATTTTAGGATTATCTCTGAATTCCTGGCTATCAAATGAGCCTTTAAACACAACTAACACAAATAACAAAACCTTCTTCTCTTATACATAGCATACATAAGTCTTACTGTACAGTCACACAGCTGATAAACAAATAGGTTTTAAACTTTGTAATTCTTCTAAGATGTTTTTTTTTTATGTGAAAGTCCTTAGCAGCTATTAGATTTTGTAGAAATTTCAAGTAACTATTTAAAAATATATGTTATAATTTATAAATATAATTTGATTAAAAATTATTAAGTAGCAAATGTTATATATTAATATAACATACTTTTCAACAATGGCAGCAATCCATCATCCACAGTTTGTCTTTTTTAAATAATTTGTTGAATTTACTCTCTCTTGTGACAATATATTTTGGACTGAAAACAATTACTACAAATTAGACCTAACTGACTCTGTTCTATCATTATTACCCATTGGTTTATACAGATATACTTGGAGGGATTTTATTATAACACTGTCTTAAAACTAAATTAATAGTGAAAGTGAACATTTTAAATTATTATTTTATTACAAGTTACAGCTTTTACAGTAAGGAAAATCTGTTTTTAGAACAGGTATGGTGTTTTGATCACTGGTACAATCATTTTCTAAAAATAAATCTTCCTTACTGTAACTTAATCATTAAGTAAACTCAAAATGAGACAATTTTAAATTATTGTTAAATCCTTTACATAAATTAATGTAAAAAGCTTAAGTTATATATGTTTACTTAAAGCAACTTTAGACCAAGTTAACAGTTATATTCTTGCACAACTATCCAAAGCAAAAATGTTTGTTAAAAAATACTTATTATTTTTTCTTTTACAAAAAAACTACCACATATAAAACAAGCATTAATCTATACAAAAACAGTTTTGTTTATTCTTATTCTCACCACAACTCAGAGTTAAAAATCAGAATTAATATTTAGTATTAAGTTATAATTTCTACTACTGTACACTAAAGGTAATGTTGGTTATATGTTATCAAAATAGTTCATGAGTGAATACGTATTAAGATTCTTTTAAAATCATTCCTACATACACAATAACAGGAAAATTCTGCAACTTTTATTACATCATCATCCTGCTGAATTTTTAATTACTTTTAATTACAAAACTGTAATGCTAAACTAAAAATAAATTATAAAAATAGCAAACAGCAGTATATGACTACAAAGTATAAAACCTGTTGAAGCAAAAGCTGTACAAGGACAACAGTTTTTTCCTTTCATCCTGAGGTAGCCTATAAAAACTCTCAAACTGATTCTAGTCCAAGTAGCAAGATGATTGAAAACAATACCTATTTGGCACCTTAAAAGGACATACAAGACTAGTTAAATTTAACTCCATAGATAACTCTAACCTTAAAACATTTTCTAAAAGAGCTTGAAATGAAGTGGCTTTTACACTTTTCAGTATTATAAAAGGCACAGCATCCAAAGCAGTATTTTTTGTTCATTGTTTTCAAAGATAAAGAATAAGAGATCAGTATCAAGAAGCTGGCAGTACGAAGAAACTGCCACAAGTAATATTGAAGATTTTACATAATAGCCAGTCATTTAAAAAAATCAAACAATATCACCAAGTCTATTCCTTATAAACACTCTTAACATTACCTTCAAAAGTAACAACTTTGTCCAAACTAGTTTTGAAAGATCTCCTAGTGTTCATAAACATCAGTCATTGGGATGCTCAGGACAAGACCTGTTGACTTGGAACCAGTTGTCAATACATCTGTAAAAAAAGTAGTTACAATAGACTTTTTCAAAAAAGATAAAAATATGTTTCAACTTATTAATATATAAATGAAAATCTGGGTATTACATAAGCATGTTTTTGCAAAGAAGATAAATGAAGTTATGTTTTTGTCATTCTATTTTGTTGGCTGTTTCAAGTTTTGTTAATCACAACTTTTAGTAATACAGTAGTCCCTCTTACATACAACCAACCTATCTGCCATGATAAAAAAAGTAGTATCTGACAGGAAATTGTTATTCAAAGAATCAACAACCAGATAACGACCGAGTTCAAGCTGTGCCAGTCGCTATTGCTAAGTCTTGAGTATAAGGTTTTGAGTATAATGACATAGCAAATTCATATAACAATACTTATGATGGATAACAGTTCAATAAGGATAACTTAAAATTGTTTTGTTTGTGTTTTATGTATCAACTTTCCAGAAATGGGAATGTTGTTAGCTCTAGCATCACAGAACTAATCAAACACTAGCTTGTAAATTTGTGATTTGCAGTTCTATATGCACTTTGATGACTTTCACGTTTGAATTAGAACTGCTTTTTCATAACTCCATGATTTTACATTTATTGGCAACAATTGATTGAATTAGCATTTTGCCAACCAGCATTTCAGCAGCAATATGAACACATCTGGCACTCTTTTCATGCATTTTGATGACAATATGAACATTTTTTCCAGCCTTCATATTCATTTTCATTGTTCAGTGTGATATCTAATCACTCACCTGTTGCAGACATCAACAAACTACAGTCGAATCATCACCAATTCAGATTATAGTACATACATGCAAGTGTAAAATCAAATAAATGAATACACAACAAACACAAAGTTTATAAAAAGGTTTTTAATAAAAGTCGCTATAGAAAGGTCGTTATCCAATCTTCTGCCCCAAAATCATGGCTTTATGTCATATCTGTCAAGAAATTGTTTGTTGGAGGTCAGATCAATGTAAAACCATTCCATGCACAGAAAAAAAAAAGTCATATTTAAAATGAAGTCATTATTGGGAGGGGTCGTATCTACCAGGGACTACTGTAATGTGGTCATAGAAAAACAAGATATTTCATTTAACTATTCTTTTATTGCTGTTTGGTGATGAGAGAAAAAGTTACTAAGATGCATAAAAAACCTGCTTTATCATATGATTTCTTTAATGCTAGTGAACTTTCAGGAGAATTCTGGGATCAGAATTCTTAATGGTAAAAAAATAGTAAAAAAAAAAAGAATCAATAATAAAGGGTCAATAAATCAAAACTGATCATGTTTTTTCATACCTATATATAAAACAATATTTCAAAGCAATAAGGTAAAACATTTTATGGTGTATTACCCGAAACTTTTTTGTTATAATGTTATTTATGGTTTCACATAAAAAATATTTTTTGTGACATCGCCTTTCTTCATTCATCCTTTAATAGCATTCAAAAAATGCTTGTGCAACATTTTTAGGTATACTGCTCTGAGTTAATGTAATTTATTCACTTGATATATTCACACACACATACATGCATTATGGAAGTCCTTATTTGCAGGTAAAATTTCATGTTAAAAATTCTAAAGTTCCCACATTCACACCCTCTAATCTTGTTGCAAAGTACAAAAAATAAATAAATTCAAACTTCATTCATTTTGGACCATATTTAGAGGTTGCTCAATGAGTTTAAGTTTTAGGCTGTAGTGTCCTGGTACCGTATGTACTATGTGATATAAAAACATATTTGTTATGTATTATAAACTATATATTTAAAGTAAATTTTTATTTTATTACAAGTACAATAGTATAATTACAAAAATATTTGATTCTTATATGATACTGGTGTGGTTAGTCACTTTGCACATTGTTATTGTTTCCTTTTTTTTGCTGTTAGGAAAGCATTTTTTATGATCCTGCACAACTTGAAGGAGGAATTCTCTCTGTTCTTCTTTCTTTGTTATGATTCATTACATACCTCAATAATGGCCACATCCCTTTTAGCAATGTCATTTACCACACTGAAACGTTAAACTGTCTGTAGTACTTCCCTGTAGTCATTTCTGAGTTCCCATGGCTTGGGGTCATAATCCAGATGGAACTTCAAGGCACCAGAAGAAGTCTGTTGTGTTTTTTGTGACAAAACCTTAACTGAAATGTCCTTAGACTTCCTAATATTGAGCTGGATGTGTTTTGGAGGTTCATCCATGCCTTCCTTCTCATTTTGTCCCCGTGGATATAGTTGAATGAAAAAATGCTAAACCAATGAGTTCGTGATTGAGATACCATAGATGTTCAGAAAATGTTTGAAAGGCAGATTCTGAAAGAGCAAAATTCTACTTTTTATACTTAACAAGATCAGTGCGAATAGCAGAAATAGAATCAAAATCAGTGAACTATATCCTAAAATAGAATTAAACATCAAGGATGCAAATGTTACAGAGTACTCTTTCTTCATGGCCAGTGAGCTAAAATTATACCATAAATATCCAGATCTTGAAGGCATACAATGTCTTGGCTATCCATCATGCATGATGCAGTGCTCCTGGTACTATAAATTGCACTCCACAAAAAGAGATGTTGCCAAGGAAGGATATGGCTAGCTCAAGAAGCTCTTGATAATCATCCCTAGGATGGCTCACCTGAAGTTGTCTTGTAGCAAACACAATGACACTGTCCTTAACTTCTTCTATGCCTTCTACTTCTTCATCATGGTCAGCTGCAGTTTTAAACCTGGACTGGTCCAGTATTCCCAAGATTGCTGCAACTGATTGAAAAATGCAATATCTGGACAAGAGAAAAGCCCTATACAGTCTTTGAAAACACATGCCAGGACATGTTATAAGATATGATGCCAGAATGCCAAACAGAGAAGGTTCTTGTTTAATCTTTGTTTCTACTTCTCTATTTCTGTGACCAATGTTGCTTTATGTTGTGTCAAAGGAAACTGCCTTTACAAGATCAATGACTCACCATTCTTCCAGCAAACGTGCCACAGCAGAAGCTTGAGCCTCTCCAGTGTTAGAAACCAGTTTTGCAACATCTAGGAGTTGGTTTACTCCTGCCCAAGACATGATCACTGGCAGAAAATCCTCTTATTTTCCTTGTAATATCCTTAAGGAGCTTGTATCCCAGTGAACTACAAGTGAGACTGTTGGCTGGAACTGTTCCTTTAAGTTTTTGTTAAGTTCTTTACGGAAACAATGTCAAAATTTTTTGGTTGAGGAATGGCTGCTCATTAGCTCCTGCACCTCATGACCAAGAATGAGAGCTGTGGCAGCAAGGATAAATGTTGCCTTTCTGTTACTCAACTTGATTCTGTCCACAGCTGCTGCTAAATTGGGAGTAATAATATTTCTTCATGTCCTCTTCTTAGGTTTAGATGATGATAATTCTTCAACTGTTCCTCTATCCCCATCACTGTTATTGGTACTATGTCCACCAATCTCATCATCACTGCTGTGGGATGATTCCCAACAACTTACAGTTTGTTCAAGGTCTACTTTTCCTGCTATGCATGTTATTTCCTGTATCACATTTGCCTCATTTCTTTTCTCAGCCCTTGATTCCTTTAAGGTAAAGACCTTATCTACCTGCCTCATACACCCAAAATGTTCTCTAACCTTTTGAGCATGTAGCAAATCCTTGTCTTCTGGGATCTTGATTAGGATCAGGGAATCCCTATGAGTGATGTCATAAAGGTCATCCAGATTATTGATAAACTCAGCTTAATTAGCTTGCTTTGTTCCAGTTTTTAATTTAAATTTTTCTTTAGTTTTGCCAATTTTTCAAAAAGCTTCTCTAGTTTGATAATGATATTTCAGACGAATTGGAATTCGAGCCTTGTTCCAAAAAGCTGCAGCCGCCTTGATCACAACCTTTGAGCTTTCATGAACTGTCTTCTTTAACGTTTTGTGATGATAGAAAAACACACATAGCACTTACCTATTTGAAGGTAATTTGCTTCCTGTTAGTTCAGTTTTCCTGAACCAAGCAACCAAAGTGTAGTCTCACTTCTTGTTGCAGTATTCATTAGCAATGACATGTCAATATAGTGTCAGCTGAAATGATACAGAATAATCTGCTAAAGTGCTTATATACTGTTAAAGAAATTCTAGAAACTACTGCATGTCATATAGAATATTCCAGAAGTAAATACTGACAGCATGAATGAATTATGTATATACAGAATGTTCAAGAACATTCTGAATAATGCAAAATATTCTTGTATATTCCAAAATTGCATACAATATTTCAGAATATGCTAAAATATTCCATAATAATATGATAAAGCATTCCAGAATAATCTAGAGCCTTCCAGAATTACTTAGAATAATCTGGAAATTTTAGAATATTCAAAATATGCAGATACAAAGCAAGCTACAAGGTAAAATTTCAATTTCTATGAGCAACCTCTAAATGTTATTCAATATGGATAAAATTTGGTGTGAATTACTTATTTCTTTTACTGGAACATAATGAGAGGAAGAGAGTATTGTAATGCAAAACTTCAAAAATAAGGACCACCCTAATATATATTCAGCACACATTTTACAAGCACCTTTATTTGGAATAAATCTTGGGATTCTCTAGCATTCAATGCTTTGGTTTTTCTAGGATGACATGGAAGGACACCTCTTCTACAAGTGAAAGTATAACATTGGAGAAGTAAAACACTGAATGTCAGAGAAGCTGCAGGATTTATCCCAAACTTACATGGAAGTTAACATTTTCCTAAACTAAAAATGTATTTCCAATAATATTTACCTACACTGACACCTTAGCTATTCCTCAACATTGGCTTTGCCTATCTAAGCATTGGTCTCGCATGCTCCAGTCTTTTATACCCCACTTAAATGCCCTTGGCAATATCTAATTTGCAAATCCCTCCACCCACATCAGTGCACCTTCCATCCTGATACTATATAGGCCACTTCCCTCAGATAATGTAATCACTTTTTCATGACAAAGTGTTGGTCACGGTTTTTTCTAACGAACTGCTGTGATTCGTTCCACTATGGATTGTGATTTTCGTGTTGCCTTGCATATTTCTGTATAATTATAATTTCTTTAAAAAACAACAACAATGGACATGATGTATTACCTTTGTCAACACAGCAGTTAATCCGACCTCACCTATTCCTACTTTG